ACATATCTGTATATCTGCACCGCTGAAGAGGGAAACAGATTTGTGGGAAAACAAGCCGTCCATTGATCCATGTGTGCTAGATAGAGAAAGACGATTAAACGTCAAAAAGGTCTATCCAGCTTTCCATGCTCGGTAATGGCGGCCTGTTTGTATGAATAAATGTATCCTTCACTGTGCTTTTTGACACTATCTGGATGTTCGAATTTCAACCCCTTCCCTTTCCCTCTCCCAGGAACAGAAGAAAATGGAACAACATACGCCCTCCAGTTAGTGTCAAAAAGCACAGCGAAGGATACATTTATTCATACAAACAGGTCGCCATTACCGAGCATGGAAAGCTGGATTGTACCAGATTTATTTCTGACAGACCAGGAATCGGCAAACTTCTTCTCGAAAATCGGACGATCAACAGCCAAGTCAAGTAGTGAGCCAATTTAAAATCGTTAGTTTCGTATTGATTGTTGATACTAGAAATACTAGAAAGAGAGATGAGCGGAGAGAATGTTTTGAGCCAAATAAACTGTCAAAATCTGAGCCAAACAAAAATTCCCATTAGTTTTTTTTCCGAGGATTTCTTATTCTTACTAGATTAAATTTGAGAGTATTGCAATCGAACAGAAATTCAATCACCTTTATGTTTCGTGTGCTTCTCAAATTAAACTAGTTTTTGGAATCAAAAGCAATGTTCTAGCTCTATTGATTAATTGATCTTATAGTACGTTCAGACTACAGAGTTATAACATGTTATAGCGCTATCTTGATGGTGGTTTCTGTGTTGCAATTATTTGACAACCGTTATAACATGTTATAACTGCTCAGTCTGGCCAGCGTTTTAGTTGGTTAATTAATGGCACCAAAAAATAAGCAAAATATTTATTATTTATTTGTTTGTCGTCAATCAGTGTAGACCGTTTTACAATAGTGCTGTTGCCTTACATGCTATTTTAAAACATACGTTTTATTTAAAATTGTCAGCAAATGTAGACTGCGATGCAATCAATTATTAATTTACACGTAAATCGAATCAAAAGTAAAAGTCATGTGAAATGCTAATGTTTTCTCCGCCTACCTACGTACCACCCGAGAAGAAGGATCAAACAAAGGGTACATTTGCAATTAACCAATTCATTCGAGCAGTTAAAATGACGTTTACTACCACTCGAACTTTGAAATAAAACATTATTTTAAGCTTTTTACTTCTATAGCCACGAGAAAAGTAGCCAACATTTGTGCGTTTAACAAAAAAAAATAGAAATTAGTTGGTCCATTTCTGTGAAATTGCTTGTAGAAAGTCACGCCAAAACAGCTTGACAAAGTGGTCAATTAATTGGAGGGGCCGTGATATGGCTGTCGCTGGTGAGAACCTACTGTGTTACCTGACTTATAACGAATATACGTTGTATACGAGTACCCCGTTGAATGCGAACTATACTCGTCTAATTTTACATTTCAAATGCTATGCAAAATTAGACGAGTCATACGTTGTATTCGGGGTACTCGTATACAACGTATATTCGTTATAAGTCAGGTAACACAGTAGGATTTACAATTAGAAACGTTTCCGTTGCGATTTACTTGGTTTTCTTGTAATACATCTTTGCCTTTTTTAGCATCCTGATGCCGCTGATTTTGTGGATTCCAACCGGTTTAGTATTTTTTTGTCTTTTGATTGGAGGTTTTCAATCCAGATCAAGAATGTTTTTCTTTTAAGGCAGGACGGTACGACGATTTTTTCTGGTTTTTTTTTTCATAACAACAAAATAACAATCGAATGTAAACATTATTTGCAGTGGTGCCAGAATTGATTAAAAAATTGCTTGTCATATGTGACTTACCCCCTGGTCGGAGCGATGGCTACACATTGAGCTTTCCGAAGGGGACGACTCTATCTACGATGTAGGAAATATTGTGTTTTGCTGTGGCTTGCTGCGCGTACGCTGAGTAGATAGAATGAAGACTTATAACGATTTTGAAGATTTTCTGCAAAAAGATGAATCTCAAGTCTAGATGCTCAACAAATCTCACTCTAGCGAATCAATCTTCGAAAAATCTTTTTTCATTTCTCGCATCTACTTGCATCGCGCATCATCTTTTTGCAGGAAATCCTCAGAATCGTCATCAATCTTCTTCACAGCAAAACACAATCTTTTCTGCATCGTAGATAGAGTCGTCCCTCTCGATACACACTTAGATTTTTTTTTGCCGAGATTGGCAACACCGAGCAGACTCGGTATTTATTTTTACTGAAATAAGATTGATGTAGATTTTTAAGATTTCCTGCATAAAGGTGGAGAGCGATGCGAGTAGATGAATTCAGATGCAAGCGATGGAAAAAGATTTTTCGTAGATTAACAAATCAATGCGTGAGATTTTTTGACCATCTAAACTTTGTTGAAGAATTCGTCACCAGGCTACACAGTGGACAATTCCGTCGAAGCGGACAAACGATCGGAGGAAACTTCGAGACTCGCGTCACCGTGGAAGAGAATAAAAGAAAACCGATTTACAAACTACGTGTGCTTTATTCGATAGCATAACTTGGAATGAAACTGAAACACTTTTTCTTTCTTCGCTTCGCACGTAACTTCTTCGCCGTTTAACGGCACCTGTCAACAACAACTAATGTTTTCTCTCTCTCGTGCAGTGTTGCCATAAAGCAGATATCGCCAATCTCACTTCGCCAATAAACTTTAGGTTCAGATGTGTCGCACCCCTAGGTGTGTATGTTTCAGAAAATCAGTTGTCACATATGACATCAAGATGCCTAATACCAACAATCAATACGAAACTAACGATTTTAAATTGGCTCACCACTTTAGTAGCCTATTGGTCCCAAGCAAACGATTAACGTACCCTATTCTAGATGAAATTCTATTACTACACTATGTTTGTTTTGATTCGCTATGAAAGTTTGACAGATAACATCAGGGGTGTGTGGATTCATGCAGAACATGCAGGGGTGAGTGAAATAGCTTGGGACTGCTTGGGACCGTTGTTCTGGTACTGAGTGAGCCAAAAATAATAATGATTTTCTTCGGGACCTACTAGTCTTAGAGTTACCTCTATGGTATAACCAACAATCAATACGAAACTAACGATTTTAAATTGGCTCACCACTTTAGTAGCCTATTGGTCCCAAGCAAACGATTAACGTACCCTATTCTAGTTGAAATTCTATTACTACACTATGTTTGTTTTGATTCGCTATGAAAGTTTGACAGATAACATCAGGGGTGTGTGGATTCATGCAGAACATGCAGGGGTGAGTGAAATAGCTTGGGACTGCTTGGGACCGTTGTTCTGGTACTGAGTGAGCCAAAAATAATAATGATTTTCTTCGGGACCTACTAGTCTTAGAGTTACCTCTATGGTATAACCATAGAGCTAACTCTAAGACAAGTAGGTCCCGAAGAAACGTGCTCAACTTTTTGGCTCACCTCTGGTACTATCTTCGGTCCCAAGCTTGTCGAATCACCCCTCGAAACATAGGAAAAACTAGAGTCGGTGTATAATGAGTCACGCCAAGAGTGAAGCCAAGTCTACCTATTGAACTGTCAAACCGGCTACCTATCGTGCAAAGAAAACAAACATTACGATGCTATGAAAGGTCCACGAAAGGTAATGCAATAAAATATAAAATATAATTGGAAAAATTATCATAATTACGCACTGAGCATTAAATTGTCATGGGATACGTTTGGCAATGATCAGTAATGAGAATTTCTACTATTTTTTGATAATATAATTTGACAAAATTACTGATATAAGGATTTACTACAGCCGCTATTTTTTTTTCTCGCTAGAAGTCATTTGAAGTTGATGTAAAAGTCCTCTGTTGCCAAGTGAAAAGAAAGGGAATCTTTCGAAAACCGTGATGCGAGTTCAACTGTTTTTCTCTTGGCGTGACTCATTATACACCGACTCTAGGAAAAACCAATAACCCCTCATTTTATCTGTCAAACTTTCATAGCGAATCAAAACAAACATTGCGTAGTACTAGAATTTCGACTAGAATAGGGTACGTTAATCGTTTGCTTGGGACCAATAGGCTACTAAAGTGGTGAGCCAATTTAAAATCGTTAGTTTCGTATTGATTGTTGGTAGGCTGATTTGACAGTACGTCCCCCCAGGTTATAACAGATTCTAACTATAGTCGCTATATTCATAGTCTGGCGGATAGAATCTCGGAAACCAATTGAGCTATCAAATAGCGGAACCAATCGAGCAAATCACGACCAACAACAGAAAAAAGCACATCAGCTATTGCGAACAAAACTTCAGAACCCCTTTTCTCGTGACTCAAGGCTCGTCTACGCAAACTAACACCATCTTTGGGTTGCCGAAAGTTTCCCTATCCGATGTTGCCGGTAATTTCCGTTCGATTGGCGAAGAAAGAATAATCATCGTTTTGTTTATAAAAGTTCATAGTATACCTTTTCAATTGTTGGTCTAACATATATTGAAATTGGTTCCGCTTTATGATAGATCGAAATTCTATCCGCCAGAATATGAATATAGCGACTATAATTCTAACTACTAATAGGTTTCAATCTGGCTAAGATCGGACTTTTCCTCTGTCATTGCGCTTGGGACTTTAGTATCTTTTTCATTTCTTCATGTAATGGCGACGATCGCTATCGACTTTTCTAATCGATGTCTTTGAAGATCGATGTATCGAAAATTAGAGAAATTTTACGAAATGGTTGTTCGGGATTGGCTCCCAACGGTTCAAACGTTGACTGGAAAGTTATTAGTCATACAATTTCTTCCGGCTGAAGCTGCGTACTTTCTCGTGTAATTAGAAGAACGTTCCCGTGCACAATGACTTGACTACAAACACTAACATGACGTACCTACCCCATCAAACAACCACCGAATATTGATTCACGAGGTTAATAGGCTCTTATCAACTCCGGTGATAAGATACCACCCCCGTCCATTACAAAGGAGCTCAAAATATATTGCCTTTAAATTAGCCTTTGGTTGCCCTTAAGCTTCAGTTTGCATCAAGTGAATCGACAATCAAAATCATTGTAATGCCGTGGTCGGAAGCGTTTTCCTGCGTTATCGCGATTTTGTGCCTCGTGGCGGTTGATGCCTCCGAATGGCAGCCTCGAATCGTGGGAGGTTCGAATGCAACTGGTAATGTTTGTCCCCATGCCGTTGCCATCCGGCTGGTTGGTAAAGACTTCCTGTGCAACGGTGCGCTGATCAGCAATCAGGATATCCTAACGGCGGCTCAGTGCGTTTATAACGGAAACGTGGTTCGAAATGCTTCCGAGTTCCAGCTAGTACTGGGCAGTCTGGCTAATACTAATAGTTCTGGTGCGATGGTTCGCAGTGTGACAGCGGTATGGCCACATCCGCAATATTCGCCGAGTGTTCGACTCAACGACGTGGCCGTACTTCGGTTGAGCGCAACGGTGCAGAATTCGGCCTCCCTGGCTCCGATACAGTTGGCCACGGCGGATACGGTTGTCAACCGTACCTGTACAATGTGCGGTTGGGGTTCGAATACTACGGTTTCGAGACCGTCGGCAACGCTGCAGAGACTGGATGTCCGGATTCAACCGAGCAATGCAACGTACTGCACACGAGCCAATGGGAATGTGACGTTGCGTGGGGATTTGATATGTGCCGGGGATCTAGCGGTAGGTAAAGGAGCATGCACCGGGGATCAGGGTGCTCCACTAGTGTGCGATGCGAGACTACAAGGTATACTGACGGTCGTAGCTGTGGGCAGTTGTGGTGGGTTGAACGAAACTTCGATCTTTATCGATACGGTGTACCATAGGAGCTGGATTACCAATAGGACTCAGTCACAGGTGGTTCCACCTGGAGGAGGAACTGGTGGGGGCGGAGGTACTGGTGGGGGCGGAGGTGGAGGCGGTGGTGGTGGCGGTGGCGGTGCCTCGCACGCAATAGTCCAGATTTGGGTGGTGATGATGCCGATTGTGGTTTTGTTTGCGTTGAAGTAAGGTTAGATAAGTTAATTTATTTACTTTCATGGATGTGATGTATTTAAGCCAATAAATGTTTTGAAATCAAGATCTGCGACGGATGATTTTTATTTACGAACACTTGATTCATAACTTCAACACTGAAGAAAGCCACCAAGCGCGGTGGTCGTTGTTTCGCCTATCTCTTTCAAGATAACAACTGAGCCCAAGACATTTTATCAAACAACTTTGTGTTCAGTTTCGGTCGCGGCCTCGGTCCCAGAAGTGGGAAAATGATATCATACGTAACTATTTCGCTCGTAGCTCTGTTGATGGCAACAGTACGCGGTTCGGTGACAACGGTGACACGAATCATAGGCGGAACGGATGCTCCCTTGGAGGACTTCCCGTACATGGTATCGATTCGATTGAACTCGTTGGAAAATCCGGCCTTCGGGGATGGCTTCTTCTGTCAGGGGGTCCTAGTTTCGCCGAAAGCCGTATTGACCAGTACCGAGTGCGTGCTGAACGGAAGCGGCTCACGAATACCGGAAGAATTGAGTTTGGTTCTGGGAACTACATCCAGAACGAATGCTAGCGGTTCGGTTGACGCAGAAGCTGAGCAAATTTGGTTACAGAATGGCGGACATTTGGCGATGTTGAAGCTGAAACGGGGGGTGGCTGGATTGAGACTAGGGGTCCTGAACGAGTTCGTCCAAGATGCGAACAAACGGTGCATTGTGGTAGGTTGGGGAGCGAACAGTACCGATGGCAAACCGAAGGACCGACTTCAGGAAGTGTATGTGAACATTTCAAAAGAAAAGTGCCAGGATAGCATGATTTGTACCAGCGCTGCAAACGAAAAAGGTGGTGGAGTCTGCTTCTGGGACACCGGAGCGCCTCTGCTATGCGACGGATCGCTGTCAGGAATTTTGATGGGTAGACCTGACAAGTGTGGACCGGAGATTACGACTTTTGTGAGCATCCGTACTGAATGGGACTGGATTCGATCGCAGATAGCTGCAGCAAATTCAGGTCATAGACTCATTAGCACAGGAATTATAATCGTTGGTCTGTTAATGGCTGTGAAATGAAAGCGAACTATTAACGAATGCCAATCTGGATCGGATATCAAGATTGATCGTTTGTTTTTAAAACTTACCTCAGGTTGAGGTTCGCACTGACAGAAAGTTCGGTTTCGCACTTGTGTCAACACCGATAATAAACGAATTCGCTATATGAATAAAATATACTATAATTTATTTCGTAAAAAATGACTGATTAAAACACACTTTAAAAAACACACGCAACTTTCCTATAACTTAGTAATTTTTCTGACTTTCACCATCCCTGATGTGTTGCTCAAATCGCTTTTGTTGATGCTGGTTTGGCTTTCGTCCAGAATTCCTTCCTTATCTTCTTCATCGCCTTGATCCACTTGAAGACGCTTCAGCGATAGAGAAGACACTGAAATGGGCTTCGGTATCCTAAAATAACAAATCCAAAAGCTGCAATCGCAATGCAACAGCGACTTAAATAAACCAACCTCTGCTTCGCGTAGATCGCATCCAGTCCCTTGGCTCGACCGCCGGGACTCTTCCTGGTCGGTGTCAGCACGGCCTTACCAACTGTCGCATTCTTGATGGGGCTTCCCGATTCGGTTGATGGATCCTTGGACTTGATTTTCAATTGTTTCATAAGATTCCCCCGTCGGTCCTTGCTTTTGATCAGCTCTCGTATTCTCAAGCCCTCTTCGGCAGCAGACAGCGGGAAGTTTTCGGCAAACTTGCATTCATCGAATTTGTTCGTCGCTACCAGACCTTTCAATCGAACAAACATTGTTATCTTTAAACTTTCTCAGTAGCGACACCTATCGTGGAATACGTACTTCTTTTGAGGACAGCTCCTTCGACCTTGTACTGTTCGATTTCGATATCCTTCTTGATGATAATGTCCTTGAGGGAGCAATTTTCCTCATACAGTAGCAGCAGCGTTCGCCACGTTGGAAGTAGAACATTTTCTGCAAGCTTTTTGAGGAAAACAACATTTTCAGATTCAAATTTCAACTAATTCATTCGAAACGAACCTCTTCGGTGGAAGCGACTTTTAACCGCAGGGTGAACGTGACGGGATAGCTTTGCACGTAGTACTTCAGTCGGAGAAAGAGATCTCCGCAGATGGAATCTTCGCATCCTTGGCTTATGCTGAAATCGTCTGCCTTACGGGCCAGGATGGTCTCGTTTACGATTTCCGGTGTATATTGGATGATGGCATCGGATTTCTGTAGTATGGTGGAAGATTGGGTTAGGATGTTGACTCAAACATATTACGGCGGCGGTTATTGATATCAAGGTATACTGTTTCCAATGAACAATGCGGAACATTGAGATTATCAGCTCCGACAGGTGGTAAACACCACTTGAAGTTTATATCGATAATTGATTATTCTGAAACGGTGATTCCATGAACGAGCTAGATTTACTGTTATCATTATTCCAGTTCATGTATGGTGTATGGGTTTTACGAATGTGATTTACTTAATATGTATTCCACTGACGTCATAAGCGCGGTTAGAAGCATGCGTTAAGAATTTTTTTTGAGTTCGACTAAATCACCGTGAAGAAATGCAGTCTTGACATCAAATTTAAAGGCGCACAACGGGTCTATGGTCGTATGAATCGTCAATGTAGGATACGAATTCGGAACCTTCTGAAACTTCCCAGAAGATCTTGGTGTTGGGTTTGTTGACGACGCTACTGTCTGCGGATGATGTACACCGTGAGGTAAAACTGGCAGCACTGCTGCGAAGAGCATAATAAAAACAAACCTATCTATTGTAATCAGCGATTCCAAACCCATAAAGCAACCAACGATACAGACAAACCGGTTGCTACGACTACCATGACAAACTCGCTCTGTAACATAGCTCGATCGGAGTGGTAGAAGGTCAATGATATATTGCTTGCCTGCTTTGTTGCGATATACACGGATGAGGACATAGCTTGATCTGAGTCGAAAAAGGACATAACAAAAAAATCCCTTGGCATAGCGTTATCATTCGTGTCGTGACTTCGTGACTGAACCGAGGTTTCCAGCCTTGGTCATGGTTCCACTAGTGCCGCTATCCCGTCTGATGGTGGTCCTTTGCTCGTCGTCCGCACTCTCCACAGTCCGACATAAGAATGCCGTCAACGAGCTTGGGTACCTCATACTTATACATCTAGCTGTATCAAAATTCCCGAACCAATCAGATCCCGTATACATACGGTCTATCACGCTTCACGCTTACTTGATTCTACTCATTTCTATTCCACACTAACTCTATCTACTACATTCTTCCCACCTCCTACACTCCGAAATTGAGGATCGGGGGCAATTTATCAACCCTTTCGTGGCATTGCATCAACCCTATCGGGGGAGTTTCACCTACCTTCTCGGAAGAATTTGTTCTACCTTCTCGGAGGGATTTTTTCTAACTTCTCGGAGGAATTTATTCTAACTTCTCGGAGGATTTTTTTCTACCTTCTTGGAGAAATTTCTTCTACCTTCTCGGAAGAATTTCTTTCACCTTCTCGGAAGAATTTCTTCTACCTTCTTGGAGAAATTTTTTCTAACTTTTCGGAAGAATTTCTTCTACCTTCTCGAAGGGATTTCTTCTAACTTCTCGGAGGAATTTCTTCTACCTTCTGGGAGGAGTTTCTTCTACCTTCTCGGAAGAATTTCTTTTACCTTCTCGGAGGAATTTCTTCTGCCTTCTCGGGAGAATTTCTTCTACCTTCTCGGAGGAATTTCTTCTAACTTCTCGGAGGAATTTCTTCTAACTTCTCGGAGGAATTTCTTCTACCTTCTCGGAGGAATTTCTTCTAACTTCTCGGAGGAATTTCTTCTAACTTCTCGGAGGAATTGCATCTTACTTCTCGGAGGGATTTCTTCTACCTTCTCGGAGGAATTTCTTCTAACTTCTCGGAGGAATTGCATCTAACTTCTCGGAAATTTCTTCTACCATCTCGGAGAAATTTCTTCTACCTTCTCGGAGAAATTTCTTCTACCATATCGGAGGAATTTCTTCTACCTTCTCGGAGGGATTTCGTCTAACTTCTCGGAGGAATTTCTTCTACTTTCTCGGAAGAATTTTTTCTACCTTCTCGGAGGGATTTCTTCTAACTTCTCGGAAGAATTTCTTCTACCTTTTTGGAGGAATTTTTTCAAACTTCTCGGAGGAATTTCTACTAACTTCTCGGAGGGATTTCTTCTACCATATCGGAGGAATTTCTTCTAAAGGGTGTCCACGATGAAATTGCCACACACAAAATTGATTCGCAAAATTCGAGTTTTTATCCGATTGCCATCAAATTTTCAGGGATTGAGAAATAACTATTAAACTTCATTTTACCATTTAACTCATATTTTATTTACAGTCCATACGCAAATGCCCGCACCTTGGCCTTAACCCCGGCCATAAGATTCTGCACAACCTGTGAATCAACCGTTTTTTGCATGTAAACCCATACTTTCTTCAGTTCCTCGACTGTCTTCACTACCTTAGGTCGTTTAAGAAGGTGCTGCTTCATAATCGCCCAGTACTTCTCGATGGGGCGGAGCTCCGGAGTGTTGGGAGGGTTGAACATTTTCGGCACGAAATTGACCTTATTGTCCGCATACCACTTCATCACGTCCTTGGAGTAGTGGCATGAGGCCAAATCCGGCCAGAAGATTGTTGGGACGTTGTGGGCCTTCAGGAGAGGAAGCAGCTGCTTCTGGAGGCACTCTTTTATGTACACCTATCCGTTCATCGTGTCCTGGGTCACGAAAGGTGCACTCCGCTTCCCGCACGTACAGATGGCTTGCCAAACCAGGAATTTCTTCGCAAATTTGGACATCTTCTGAGTGCGGACATGCTCCGGAACGCTGAACTTATCCTTGGCCGTGAAAAACAGGTTGCCGGGGATCTGTTTGAAGTCGGCCTTCACATATGTTTCGTCGTCCATGATGCAGCATTCAACTTTCGTCAGCATGTTGAGGTACAACTTCCTGGCACGGGTTTTGGCGGACTTGTTCTGCTTCTCGTCGCGATTAGGGGCCTTTTGTACCTTGAACGTTCGAAGCCCAGCCTTAGTTTTGGCCTTCTGGACAAAACTTCGGCTTAGGTGCAGCTTCTTAGCCACATCCCTAACGGAGGCGTTCGGATTTCGGTTGAAGGCCCCAACTACGCGGTTGTGATTTTTGGTGTTGTACGGAATACTTTTTCCTTCACTTCTGGGCTTCCTATCGGTGGTCAACCGTTCCTCGAACCGCTTAATCACTCGCGACACCGTGGAATTCGCGATTCCCAACGTTTTAGCGATGGAACGATGCGAGAGATCCTTGTTCTCGTGATGAATGCGCAAGATTTTATCACGCACGAGCTGTTCTTTCGACTCCATTTCCGCGAGTTTTGATCACAGGACTTTAAAACTTGCAGGATGTAAATAATGCACTATGAACTAAATCCACCCAAATTTTCATTAAATTCTACCCAACGGTTAAAAAGTTAGAACAATTTCATAGTGTGGCAATTTCATCGTGGACACCCTTTACCTTCTCGGAGGGATTTCGTCTAACTTCTCGGAGGAATTTCTTCTACTTTCTCGGAAGAATTTTTTCTACCTTCTCGGAGGGATTTCTTCTAACTTCTCGGAGGGATTTCTTCTACTTTATCGGAGGAATTTCTTTTACCTTCTCGGAAGAATTTCTTCTACCTTTTTGGAGGAATTTTTTCAAACTTCTCGGAGGAATTTCTTCTACCTTTTCGGAGGGATTTCTTCTACCTTCTCGGAGAAATTTCTTCTACTTTATCGGAGGAATTTCTTCTACCTTCTCGGAAGAATTTCTTCTACCTTCTCGAAGGAATTTCTTCTAACTTCTCGGAGGAATTTATTCTACCTTCTCGGAGAAATTTCTTCTACCTTCTCGGAAAAATTTCTTCTACCTTATCGGAAGAATTTCTTCTACCTTCTCGGAGAAATTTCTTCTACCTTATCGGAAGAATTTCTTCTACCTTCTCGGAGAAATTTCTTCTACCTTAGCGGAGGAATTTCTTCTACCTTATCAGAAGAATTTCTTCTACCTTTTCGGAAGAATTTCTTCTACCTTCTCGGCGGGATTTCTCCTAACTTCTCGGAGGAATTTCTTCTACCTTCCCGGAGGAATTTCTTCTACCTTCTCGGAGGAATTTTTCAAACTTCTCGGATGAATTTTTTCTACCTTCTCGGAGGGATTTCTTCTAGCTTCTCGGAGGAATTTATTCTAACTTCTCGGAGGAATTTCTTCTACCTTCTCGGAGGAATTTCATCTAACTTCTCGGAGGAATTTATTCTAACTTCTCGGAGAAATTTCTTCTACTTCCTCGGAGGAATTTCTGCTACCTTCTTGGAGAAATTTCTTCTACCTTTTCGGAGGAATTTCTTCTAACTTCTCGGCGGGATTTCTCCTAACTTCTCGGAGGAATTTCTTCTAACTTCTCGGAGGAATTTCTTCTACCTTCCCGGATGAATTTCTTCTACCTTCTCGGAGGAATTTTTCAAACTTCTCGGATGAATTTCTTCTACCTTCTCGGAGGGATTTCTTCTAGCTTCTCGGAGGAATTTATTCTAACTTCTCGGAGGAATTTCTTCTACTTCCTCGGAGGAATTTCTGCTACCTTCTTGGAGAAATTTCTTCTACCTTTTCGGAGGAATTTCTTCTACTTCCTCGGAGGAATTTCTGCTACCTTCTTGGAGAAATTTCTTCTACCTTTTCGGAGGAATTTCTTCTACTTCCTCGGAGGAATTTCTTCTAACTTCTCGGAGGAATTTCTTCTACCTTCTCGGAGGGATTTCTTCTAGCTTCTCGGAGGAATTTATTTTAACTTCTCGGAGGAATTTCTTCTACCTTCTCGGAGGAATTTCATCTAACTTCTCGGAGGAATTGATTCTAACTTCTCGGAGAAATTTCTTCTACTTCCTCGGAGGAATTTCTTCTACCTTTTCGGAGGGATTTCTTCTACCTTCTCGGAGAAATTTCTTCTACCTTCTCGGAGAAATTTCTTCTACTTTATCGGAAGAATTTCTTCTACCTTCTCGAAGGAATTTCTTCTACCTTCTCGAAGGAATTTCTTCTAACTTCTCGGAGGAATTTATTCTACCTTCTCGGAGAAATTTCTTCTACCTTCTCGGAAAAATTTCTTCTACCTTATCGGAAGAATTTCTTCTACCTTCTCGGAGGAATTTCTTCTACCTTATCAGAAGAATTTCTTCTACCTTT